TTTTATGTGCCTTTGTATTGCGTATCCCCTCGTCTAGAGAACAAAAATAATTGCATCCTAATGCTTTGGTTATCGCTCATTGGTTTTATTTGATCGTTCAGAGTTTTTTTTTTCATTTCTTCGCTAATATTTACGTGTGTGTGAACGTATGATCCGAATTTTTTTGAGTCAATAAAGGTGTGAAGTCGGAATGATTGTGTGTACAGTATGGTTTTCGCTTAATGTACAACAAGTTCCACGGCTATGATGTGATGTATATAGATGAGCATGCCAGAGGTGCAGGAGTTAAAAAATTAGTTCTTATTTTGTAATATTTGTATTTTTTTGTGCACTTGATGGGTTTATAGAGCATGAACTAGTGAGTTTTCTCACACATTGTTTACCCTTTATTATTTTTGGCGAATGTATCAACGCTTACTACCAGTTGTTTATCCCCCGAAAATGTTCCTTATATGCACATTTGATACATATTGATTTGTGACATTCCTTGCTTTTCCCCTGATTATCATGTTTAATGCAAACATTGTGTCCTATTGCTGTGCGTTTGAAGTGCCTCCCGACCTCCGCCACCTCTCCTAATTTGGGCCAATAATCTTTTAACAAAAGCTTGCACAGCAGTTTAACTGAGCATACGGTAGCTATTAATGCCTAACAGTGATGTAAGTCCACGCTGGAAAATAATAATTTGGTAGAAAAATGGTAGTGGAAGCATCTGGGAAATGGGCATGCTTCGTTCGCTCTAAAATAGCTTTTTCTTCTATGCAGCGCTTGTTTTTTTCACTATCGCAAATAGCCCGAGGCCACTTTGATAAATTCTAACTTTCTATTCCTATAATAAGAGTGCAGTGCGTTCCTCAATGCTTTTATGATTGCAGGAACTTGAAGAAGCCGAAGAAAAATTGACTCTAAAGACGAAAGAGTATAAAGAAGCTATCAAACATAGAGAATCGGCAAAAGCTGACTTTGAAGAGGTTCGATATCACTTTGTCCATGGCGGAATGTAAATCATCTATGATTTTTTGTCATTACAGCTTAACAATGAATTGCTCGATGAACGCAGTAAAACGCGTCGTTTGGAAAAAGAAGCCACCGAAGTAGAAACGAAGATTGCTCAACTGCAGTCTCGTGTCGACACTTTGAAAGCAGATTTGCGGAAGGCGGAAAGTGGTGAGTGTGCAAAGCTAAGCCTTTTTTCTTATTTGGCATTTATTTTTTGCCTTGGGTTATATGAAATTCTAGTTTTTTAGACGTTTTTTCGAAGCAGAATATGCTTTCCATCATATTTTATAGAAGTTAGGGTTTTTAGATTAATGGAGTTTTGGAAGTTCTGATTTTTTTGCT